CCGATTAACCCCACACCCTCTTATTGCCACCCTGATCCTCTTCCCCTTTCTAGTCCATTGTTCTGCTTTCTGATTCCTGTCCTGTGCTCCCTGCCTGATATTCTGCTTTTCTTTCTGCTTCCTGCCCGGTGCTCCCTACCCAATCTCTTGTTCTGTTTTCTGCTGCCTATCCCCGCCTTGGTCTGCTATGTGTCACAGCAGTGAAATGACATACAGACTGTACAGCGACTTTTGAGAATGCCTGGCCTTAATCCTTTGGATAAGATGCATGATTCTGCAAGTTCAGTTTTCACTTTGCTGTCAGTTTAGTTGCTCTTTGTAAAGGTGAAGCGAGAAGCTCAGAGGCATGTTTGTCAGAAGCTCTGTGGTCCCACTGCTCTTTGATCAGCTTGGTTTGGATTCGGGGAATGCAATCTGGAGGGTTTTCACCCCTCCCCCATGCAATCTACAGACAATTTTTATCTTACACCAAAAAGAAGATAACAAGATAATCTTTTACTAGTCCCATCACTCAGAACAGCAAAATCATTGAGTGAATTGATTTTTATTTATTTTGATTTAAACACTATTTAAAAAGCTTTTTATGAAAAAAAGCTCCAGGCTCCTGAAACATCATTAATATTACAGTAATGAAAACGAAGCCCCAGCAGCATTAAAAATAATTATGCAGAAAAGAAACTCCACCTACCTAAGGCCAGCTATCTAAGGCAGGGAAGAAGCCCACCTTCCCTCCCTTTTAGCATTCTTGTAAATAAGCCTAAAAGTTGTCTAACATATCTTTGGAGTCTAACATATCTTTCATTACCAAAAGGAAGCTTTGGTTGTATCGGTCTTACTGAGAGGGTTACTGTGAAAAGTTGGGGTAGAAATCAATTGTGTGCATTTTATTCCCAGGCAACAGACATGAAGACGGGACACAAAGTGATTCTGAAGACCCAGTTGCCCCCAAAGCCGAGAAGGAAACTGCTGGCAGCGACCGCACAGCTGAGCAAGCCAGACTTCAGCGTCAAATTCGACGTGATCCTCACGAGATGCTTCACAACAAGCAGGCCTTTGTCATCGAGTTCTTCGACGATGACACACCTCGGAAAAAGAGGTCGCAGTCTTTCACGCATAGTGCTCACTCTTCCCAGAGCGACACCGACCAGGGGCTGAAGGCTAAGGTCGAAAAGCGCAAAACTGTCCCTGCTGAGAAGCTAGGGGGCACGGTGCCCCCTCCTCATGTGGTTACCCAGGCGAACAAGACACCCAGCACCCCTTCTGGGCCCACTCAGAGAACTGGCTACTTTAAGAGAGAGAAGACGGAGGATCGGATCAGCAGTTCATCCTCCTCCACTTTGAGGACATCTGCCAAGACATATGGCAGCGTTGGAAGGAAGTCTAAACTTGCTCAGGATTTTGCTGCCGAATATCTGAGAGAGACCTCGCAAGCAGCAAAGTCAAGCATGGAGAAGCCAGCCTCTGCACCAATGGTAGTGGCTCCACGGGTCGTCATTTCATCAGCGCCAGAAACTGGTTCTGTGCCACCCACTGATTCGAAGCTGGCCCAAATAAGGAAGAATGACGAGGAAGACAGCTTGAGCGAAACGGGCACCTACACCATTGAGACAGAGTCACAGGACAAAGAAGTAGAAGAAGCCAGAAAAATGATAGATCAGGTAAAAATCTCTTGTATAGAGAGGATTGCTCTCGACTGGCAAACTGGAACTGAACAGGGGATTTTGAGACCTAAAAGCCTGGGCTGCTGCAACTGGCTCTAAAGAGGCCAAGACTTCTTAGCTGGACTGTAGCAGACTCTGAGCCCATGTGGACCAGTGCAGGGAGGGGTCTGTAGCATGTGCTCCTGGGTGGGGGCTACACTATAATGTAAATTTGGAGAGGGAGGGAGGCAGCTGATAAAGTAGCTATAACAAATCCCATCTGAAAGAAGACAAGAGCAACTTTTATTCTTCATGTTTAAATAGGATTTGGGTACAAAGATGCAAGAATGAGCTTGCAAAGGGAAGAGCAAGAGTATACTCAGAGTAATGCTTAAAATGCTCAGAATTTGGTCCTGCTGAGGCTTGTGTGTGTGAGTACATTGACATTGTGGGACTGCTTGCATGCCCGAGCTTTTGCAGGATTGGGGGTTATGCAGTATGTCCTTTATGTCCCTTCCTCCTGTCCTGCTCCTCTGAATACATGGGATACAACTCAGAAGACGACTGTGCTCTCCTCAATAGGCCAGAAGAAACTGAGACTGAGGATGGATTTTCTTAGGGAGCTCCAGTCACATCCTCATTTCATGGTTGTGGGTATTTTAGTATTTAGCTTTGTTGAAGGGGAATTGTCCATCTGCAGGACAGATGGAAGCCACCCCCTGCAGGGAAGTAATGAAGTGAGCTCAAGCTCATGAAAGCTTGTACATCCCTGATGTAGTCAGTCTGTAAGGTGCATCTCTGCCCTGCCTGTTGAGGCCTGGAGCAGTCATGCAAGTGATTATGCATGAGTTAGTTTAAAAATGCAAAATTAAAACAGAAAAAATAAGGCAGTGGGAGAGGCTTTAACTATACATAACAACCCCCAGATCAAACCAGGACTTTTTTTAAAGCTTGGCTGACTTCCAGGTCCTCAGCTGCTGCTTATTGTTAAAAGAAAATGGGCAAAGGTTATGAAACCAAATGGACGTGGAGGCAAGTATAAATAATCCTGTAGCAGAATCAAGTTCCCAACCTGTACATATAGCTGCCAGGTGTAACAGCGTAGCCTTATGGCTGTTACCATATCTAGCCTCCTGCTCAGTGCCTCCCTATTGTTTTATTCGCTTGCCCATCAATTTTTTCTGAAACTAGATTTGAAACTAGGGCAAGGACTATCTGCGTTGGAACTGTGCACAGCACAAGGCCTTGATTCTAGCACACACAGAGTTGATCACGGTAGTTGAATAGAAGAGTAAAAGTAATTATAGTTTTGCAGGGTGGGGGGCACAGGCAAATGCCATTTAGTTGACCTTAGTTCTGTTCTTGCCTCTGCCACAGAAAGTCTGAGACCTTGGGCATGTTTCTAAAACAACTCTGTGCTTCAGCTTATAGGGAGTTGTAAATAGAGATTATATTGATTCCATCCTCACAGGGCTGTTGTGTAAATGACTTATGTGTTTTGAATTGTTAATAGAATAGAGAAATAGAATTAGACCAGTTAAGTTATCAGTTCCATTTCCCTGACAGTGCTTTCACTAGCTTGTTGTCTAGCACTCTGTTTTTAAATGTCTCAATCCTAGAGATGCCTTTCCTTCTTTTGAAACTTTCTCCCTAGCCTTATAGTCAAGATCATTTTCCTGATATCCATCCCAATTTCCCTTGGTGGAAAGTGACTCTATCAGCACAGATTACAACTTCTTTTTTTTTTTTTTTTTTAAAGACAATGGATTTAAATAATATAAGAATCTGGAGATTATTATACTAAGATGTTCTCAGTAACAGGTTTTGAGAAGTGGAGAATAGAATACTTTAATTAACATTTTTGCATAAAAATTAGTCTGGATCCATGACTGCTTGGGATTGGAGTTGCAGGGTGAATAAAACTTTGTGGATTTTGATTTCATGGTAATTTTTCTTCTTCTCCCCTGCACACAACTCTTTCAGGTATTTGGTGTGCTGGAGTCTCCTGAACTTTCCAGAATCTCTTCAGCCTTTCGACCTATTATCAAGGGCGAAAAAGAAGAAACGGTCTCTCACCAGCATCTAATCAGTGAAAATGGCACAAGTCAGAAAGCACCTCTGTTCCAGGCATTCCCTTCAAAAAACACTAATGGGTCCTCAGGCGAGATGCAGGTATAGAAGGGGGAGATTTGGAGGAGGGGAGTGGGTATTTCTGTGTAATGTGGGAATGTGACTTTAATTAATTAATGCATGTGTCAAATAGGACCTCAGAGGGGTTTTGCAGCAAAACCTTGTTTAAAAAGACAGTGCATTTTTAAAATATTTTTATAGATGTCTTCAGCATCCCAAGGCAGTCAAAAATGGGTCTCTAGGTGGGCAAGTCTTGCTGACAGCTACTCAGAGCCAGGATCTGCTCCTGCGCTGGGAGAAGGTGGTCAAGGTAAGTGCTATACTGTCACCCTTTGGGGAACTGAAGGATTTATTTAAAGGTGATGTGAAAAGGAAGGACAAATGGGACTGTACCCTTTTGTTGTTCCTTTAAGAAGTATTAAAAGATATCTTGAAATGTTCCTTTATTTTCATAAGACATGTTTTCAGTTTTTACTAAAATATTTTTTTAGGTGGGAAAATCTCTTGTTTAGTGTTTCAGTGCTTGCCTTTCTTTGTCTAAAGTAGAAAATGTGTCCAGTATGCATTTGAGTCATCAAGTTCTCACAAAAGAAAGGTGACAGCTATACTCAACATTTAGGGCATCTGATTGGGGGAATAAAAACTTGAGGGTGGCAAAAATAACCATTCTTCAGACATTTCTTGTGCTTAGTTATGAAGCAAAAAAGAAAGCAGAAATCCAACATTTTTTCTTTAGGGAATTGTATAGAAGTGTGTGTATGTGTATGGGGCTGTCCCTCTCAGCTGTGTTTTGTTATGCTTCTCCCAGACTATGCTGAATATATCGAGCTATCCTTGTATTTGATGGAGCCAGTTGTCAGTATGCTGAAGGGGGGAGTACAGCATGTAGAGCTAGGTTCAAGAGAGGGACAGAACAAAGTTGCACAGTTGTGTCAGAAACTGGGAATCAGTCATGCCACCCTTTAGATACAAGGAGCTTTTTGTCTTCACTCCAGACTGCCATGAATATGTGTGTCAAGCTGTTAAAAAGCTAGAAAAATCTCTTTGTACTAGAGATCATTTCTGCAATTTGGCACATTGTACTAGAATTTTCATCCTGGACTATGCGGTTTTGTTTTTTTATCTTAGTACCTTAAGAATATTAATTTAGATTTAGGGCCAGGTGCTTAGTACTCTGACCTCAATGTGGTGCAGCATTTAAGCACATGCTTAAGTAAAGGCATAAATTAAGTACATACTTAAGTCCTTTTCTGTATTGCACTTTACATGATCTAGCCCCTAGAAAATAAATACAATATTTAGCACAGCAATTTATAAATGTCTTTTAATCCTCTTAGAAAGTGTCCCAGCTCGTGGACCAGGGGAGCCAGAAATCATGGTGCCTTCAAGGACAAGAAGGCTTCTTCCCCAGCTCCCTCCAAGTGATAAATGCGACAGTCCCACACCCACAGTTTTAATTTGCCAAGACTCCTATCCTGAAGTGTCAAAGCGGAACGTCATAAAGAATCACACTACAGAGGCCTACATGGATCCCAGCAGCCGACTGTTCATCCAAGAAGACTTGGATCCCGATAGTCTTAGTGATGCCAGCAAATCTGATGATGGCTTTGGCTTAGAAAAAGGCAGGAAGTACAAAGAGAACAGCAACATGCCTGAGCAAGAACGGCAGAGAGGGGAGGAGGGAAAACCTGAGAGCTGGCAGCCAGCAGCTCCACGGGGTTCAAGTATCAGAGCCGTAAGTGAGACGGCATCTACTTCCTTCTACATTGGCGATGAAGCAGATGAGATAGGAGTTCCCTCCAAGATCACCCTGAGCACATCTCATTTTCGAGCAGACAAAGACTACAAAGATCAAGTGTTTCCCTTCAAGGCAGCCAGCATGGTTGTTTCTGGAAAGCCACTGGTCAAAGATGTGAATGCCTACATCAGTGCAGCAGGGAAAATAGTTGTACCCGCTCATCAGAGTCTTCCTCAAGAGCAAGAAAACTTGGCCCCAAAGGAAATGTCATCCTTCGTTAGGCAGGAAAGTTTTACCAAAGATAAATCAAGCAGTGTTGTTCCTCAAAACAAACTCCCACATATTTCAAGTCATCCCTTGCTTAAAGATTTAGATTCTACCCGGTCAAACCGTATGGACTTCAATCAGGACACCCATCTTATCCTCAAAGATACTGAAACTGCTTTGGCAGCTCTAGAAGCCAAAATACTTTGTCAAAGCCAACAGTTAGAGCCTTCAGAAGTTGTTTCTGGGCAACTTGAAGACTCCTTATCTGGGGACTCTGATGTGGACACAGCGAGCACTGTCAGCTTGGTCAGTGGAAAAAATGTCCCAGTCACTGTCCCAAAACTTAATGCTGTCACCAGCTTGCAGAAAGAAAAATCTTCCTCTGCACCATCCATGCAAGACCAGGGCATCCAACCTACCGCTCGCGAGAGGTTATCGGAAAAGCGCAAGACACTTCCTCCTGAGACGGGAAGCCGATCTGAAACGACCAAGCGTTTCCAAATGAAACGTAGCTCTGGGACACGTGGGTCTCTGGATTTTACAGATGATGAGAGGAGCTCTAGTCTTCCTTATTTGCCAGTTACTGAAACAGCATCCTCTGATCAAGAGCATTCTGTGGCCAGGCCTACATCCAGGAGGAAACCTTTTACTCAGACTGTAAAAGAGGAGCATAGCAAAGCAACAGCACAGAAGATCCAGCAGGTTCTCACCAGGTCCAACAGTTTGTCGACCCCACGGCCCACCAGAGCCTCAAAGCTCCGCCGTGCCCGGTTGGGAGATGCATCGGATAATGAATGTGTTGATATGGAGAAAACAGCCTCTGGGGTGGAAACCACAAGCTCATCTTCTAAGCAATCCACAGAGGCTAAGAAACTGTCCAGGCTAGACATCCTCGCCATGCCAAGGAAACGGGCAGGTTCATTTACAGTGCCAAGTGACTCTGAAACAACACAATCAAGAACAGGTTTTTCTGGGCGCAACACGGAGCCATATCGGAAGCCAGTGGCGTCTGAGGTTAGAACTGCAGCTAGAAAAACTGCATCAGCTGCTTCTACCAAGCAGCCTTTCAGTAGAACTCGTTCTAGCAGTGTCAGATATTCATCCTCTTCCAGTAAGTACCGTGCTTAACGTTTCTTCAAAGCACCATTCTAGAGGCTCGCATTGCTGTTATAGGAATATCAAGTGCAGTGGCTGGCAACCTGTTAGGAGGAAGAATTGAAAGAAAATGGGATGAAGGGTAGGGTTTGCACAGATAGGCACATTGGGGAAATTCAACATGACACACACTTCAGGGAACTGGACATAGTAGAGCATGTTCCGTGCCCTTTTGAAACTTCCTTTAAACACAGATAAGGATTTGAAAAGTTGACCAGTGATTTTTTAATGCATCAATTTTGGGAATGCACCAGCATGAGGTGCCATATACAGGCATGATTTTGGGAGGGTCATGGGTTAGCTCGTTCTAAAAATCAGTTGTCCCTTTTGAAGTGCCACAAATTGGGTACTCTATTACAGAGCCACCAAAAGTAGACACTGATTTTGAAAATCTTGGCCAATTTTGGTGGAGAAAGAGAATACAAGCGTTTTCCAGTGTTGCCCAAGGCTTCACTGCCTGCTTTTGAAGATCCAGGGTATGTGCATTAGCTCAGCAGGAGAATGTGTCCAGTGGCAGCTGAAGTCAGTGGTGAGTGAGCATGTTAGAAATGGTAAAGCAAGGAACAAGCAAAGGTGCAAGTAGATGGGAGGCAGTTGTGGTCAATGCTGTAAATTCAAAATGCTTCATGTTTGAGAAATTCCCTTTGCTTGCTTTTATTGGTCTGAAGTACAGTCTCTAAAATGTGCCCTATGTACAGAAGCTTCGTACTCGGATCCATATTTGAGGATCATAGAGCACATGATTCTGCTATGAGCTGTGCAGAGCCATTGCCTGGAAACAGCATCCTGAACATTAATATTTGGCACATTTAAATGATTACTATATGGAACAAGGCATATGGTAGATATAGCAAATAGTCTGAGATAGTTGTGAGCATCATCTGCACTTCAATGTGATGTCCTTCTGGACCTTCCTAGTTCCAGAAGGTCAAGGAACTAAGACTGGTAGCAGTTGGTGTCAGATCCCTTAGGCTTTTATGGAGGGAAAGCAAAGAGCTTTGTTGTCAGTGAAATTTGACTGGAGCTGTTAGACTTGTGGCTTCAGCCAATCTGTTTTCATAACTTGTGTCAAAGGCCCTTGGAGTTCTTGGTAAGTGGCATTTTAACCTTTTTTTTTTTTTGTAAGTTAAATTATGATTTGTCCTTTTAGTGACATTTATGCTCCGAATTGCATGCTAGAAATGTTTTATACAATGCTGCTTGTTTTTAATTTTTACTCTTTAGCGTATCAAACTTCCCTTTCATCTCATGGAGGTTTTTTTACACCTTTCATGCAAGCCTGTCAGTGCAGAGTCTGAACAAGAATATACATGGCATTTCCCCCTGCATTTTCTGAGAGGGTGCCGCTAGTTACATTCTCTTTAGTTAGAACATTGACAAATCCAAAGCAATGTAAAATCATTGTAGTTCTTCAAACAGTAGATAGATACTATCCTTACATTGAATCACAGACTTCAGATATAATTAAAAAAAAAGGAAAAAACCAAAATTGTTGACCACCACTTGTGCTAAATGAATTGGTTTTTAGTTTCCAGTGCTTTTTAGCAAAATACTAATAACTTTTCCTGTGTTTAATTATGGTGGATAATTCTAATCCTTTCCTTTAAATTAATTACTTTAAAATATTAACTCTCTAATTCTTTGATAGGCTTCTGGACCTTGCACAAGTTCTACATAGACTGGGGTACTCTAAGTTGTGTAGTGCTGTAGATAGTGCTTAATATGTGTTTTTGTACTAATGATGTATTTATAGTGAATGAACAGCCAGTATTGATTCTAGGACTAAAAAAGAAACTTATATAGGCTTAAATGTTACACAGTGTTGTCAAGGCATTTTTACTGTGATACAATAACAATTTAAATACAGTGTGTTTTGACACTGAAGGTAGCGAAATGGATGACGCCAACTTGCTTAAGGATGTCTTAAAATGCTTAGCTAACAAAGATTACTTCCAGCCATTCCCATGGGAAAATTAATCTTACCAACAGAGAAACAGAGTGAGATGCATGACCACAAGACGTAAGATGCCAGATTATTGCTAGGCCATCTTAAAACCACTGTAAATGAGTTGTCAGGAGATTGTCAACATAACTTCAAGCATATATTCTAAAAGCATAAGGCCAGATATGTTTTCTTGCATTGGATTTATACAGCATAAGTCCAATAATGTCAGTGGACAAAATTCTGATTTATGCTGATACAGGTGAAAGGAGAATTGGGAATGCAAGAGTAACCCTTTGATTCTCAAGTTTAGTGACTTTTTTTTTTAATTCCTTGAATTTAAGTTGTGAGCAGATTGGTTTTTCTGTTAAATTTGGTCCTGATTAGAGGGCTGGAATCAAGGTAGTCATTTGTTTTGGAAGCATTCTTAGTTGAATAGTAACCGTGTGTTTGTAGTTACTGTCCATATTTTGTATGGCAAAAATAATGCTTTCATTTAAACTACGTAAGCTATGTCACTGCAGTGGTGTTGGCTTTATTAGAATGCAGTGGTGTGGTGTTTCAATCTTGGTAACATAGTGAAGCTTTTAAATGAATTTAGATCACACTTTGTTGTTTTAAATACACTGGCTGCTTTTGTGTTCTATGGATCCTCACACCAGCATGTAAAAAAGGAAGAAATTGTTGTTAACAACTATTGTAATAGAATATGAACAATCAAACAAATCCTGGGAGCCCAGTTTTCAAAGGAAGGCATCCGACCAACATCATGCTTAGATACCTAAAATAGGTATTTGGATTCTAAACTACTTGCTTCAAAATCTCTTAGAATGAAGAGAGGTTTTTCTCTTCACTTTAAGGACCTTGGGGCTAGTATTAAGCGTTCCTTTGAATACTTCAGCAAGGAATTTGAAATCCTATTAAAGAATGGTAAAATGCAATGAAAACAGGTGCACATTTTCACAAAATGAGACTAAGCACCACAGAAATCTCACTTTTTATTTTTCCTGATAGCTTTCCTCTAAGATGCTTAGCACACTTGAAAATTGGGCGCTCTGTAGAAAAGGTTTTTGTGGGGGATTTCTAGGAATCTAACACATTCATATGGAGTTTCTGCGTATAGGAAATGAGGCCACCCAGAATCTTTTTGCCTGCTGTTGTTAATGCAGATGGTACACTTTTCCCCTGGAATTTTTTGGCTTCAAATTTGCAGTGTTTTGGCAAAGCCATTAAAAAGTGTGAACAGTTTGTTCTAAAAAAACTCTGGCCAACCTTTCCTTGAACAAAAAAAGATGCACAGAAACTCTCCAGACCTCTTCTTACATTCTTGGGCTAGGTTATATTACCTTTTGTGTTGCTCTTCATAGTTAGTCCTACTACTTTTCTTCATCTGAAACCAATTCATTTCTTATAAGCTTCAAGGAGGAGACTGCAGGGCTCAGATTACACTTCTACTTCCGAGGAGGAGTATGGCTCAAACCACAGCTCCCCTAAACACAAACGCTCCCATACTTCAACAGCTACCCAGACGCCGCGGACACGTGGTTCTGGGCTAAGCCGACAGAAGCAGAATGGGAGAGAAACGGATGATGATGAAGACTTTGATGAAGCTGACCCCTACAATTTCATTGCACAAACAGCAGAGATAGCGGAAATCGCCAGGTGAGCTGGAATGTGGGGTGTCAAGCCACTATCAGAATGCAAGTCTGTTGGGTTACCTGGGTGTTTGAACCAGACGGGGAAGAACAGAGGGATTATCAGTATTACAGGAATGAATGTTGTTGGAGAACAACTTTTTACCTGGTTCATGCTCATCTGATCTTTTTTTCCCCCTTTTCATTGAAACATTTAAAAATATAAATATATAAGTTGAGATTTAAAGGAATTGAGCCTTACAGTACTTGTAAGGTAGGCAAGTGATATTGGATGGCCTCTTCTTGTCGGATGTTATACAAAGATAACGGGGATATGCCTCAAATTCACCGTCTGGGCAGATTTGGGCATAGAACCCCAAAATTTTGATCTTAGTCCTATGCTCTGACCACTCAAACAAATTCCTTTCCTTCTCTTAAGTCACATCTAAATAAGCAGACTTTGAAGCCACTGAGAGCTTGCATGAAGTAGGTTCTGGAGCCATGGTGGCCATTATATAATGATATCTTGTAACTTGGAAATGTTTGGCAGTGCACGGTTTGTCTAGGTGTGATATTGCACAATTGGATTATAAAAATGCTAGCTTTCCAGCATTATAAAAAATATTTTAAAAAGTGCTAGCTTTCCAGAAACAGTAGAACTCAGATCATTCATATCCAGATGGTTTGCAATCTGCCGTAGTAAGCATCTGGGGCACTTCGTCAGTCCCCTGCAGGTGTTAGCTGCAGCCCTGTATTCAGATCCTTTGCAAACCCTCATCTTCACCGGGGAGTGGCAGGAACCTAAAAGTATCCAGGTTCTACTGTGTAGAAATTAGATTTTGGCTGCCATGGGTTAAATACTTTCAGTTTAGGAGTCCTGTGGCCTGCAGTCTGTCTTCCTATGTTATCTGTACTCTCTGTACCACTTGTCTGAAGGGATTTTTCCTTTAATAAGTGTTGTTTATAGATAATTTCAACTCAATTTAAAGCTTACAGTATTTTGTGTCCCCTGTGCTGTTCGATGAAAGGAGAAAAAATTATTGACTTGTTGCTTCATAGCAAGGTTTCTTAGGAGAGAGAGAAAGCACTTCAGATTGCAAAAGCTATAAATAAGAGGTTGCATCAGATTTGTCTGGCACGGCACATTGAACACTTTCTGGAGAACTCGGTCAAGTAGTCTGGCTCGTAATTGCAGCTCTGATTTCTGCTGCTGCTCCTGAATTAACTGGGAGTGGTTTAAACTTGTCAGCGAGCGTTAAAAGAAAAAATTCCACTTGTTTACAATGAGCGTAATCACATAATTGATGCATCCCATCACAACTGTTTCAGAAACGGACAAGTGCAGTTGGTTTGTTAGACACGCATCTCATCTAAGTATTATTTTAATTAGTGCAAATATACAGCTTGTTTCGGAGGAAGTTCCTTCAAAATATTTTGGTGACCTCATGGCTTTATTCCATTGCCTGACTAGTCAAAAAAACACAAAACATTAAAATGAAAGTAACCAGTGGGGGAGATTTTTTTTTAAGGGATACTGTCAAGATAAAAAGAAAAACAACATCAGCCGTTTTAAAGCTGTGTTGGTAACGCATACGATTGTTAGACATAATTTTTGGAATCTAAATCAAGCTTTGAAAAGTCAGTGAGGTTGGGTGTCTTCATTCTTAGGTGCTAACTGGAGCTTCCCAGGGGCCCTGAGTTTTGGATGGTACCTCTGGAAAATCAGGTCCTTCTAAAATGTCTGCTTCAGGATCCTAAATCACTAATCACTCTTGGAAGTTTTTAAAGGCTTAGTTTGTTATCAGGCCTTTTACATCTTTCACCATATTCAGTTTTGCTTTATGAGCGTCTCTACACAAGATCAGGATTTACCTGTGGGAGCTTTGAGAAGTTTACTATTGTTTTGGAGAGTCTGGTTCTTCACACAGGGGGAGGGGAGGGGTGTTTCGGGTTTTGAAGTCATTGAAATCTCAGAAGAACCCATGAAAATATTTTTTGCACTAAGTTTTTGTCAGTCTCCCATTTCGTGTGCATGGTTTTTAAGGTATAAGGGGGACCTTAAGGTATTTGGGGACCTTAAGGTTGATCATGATTCTAAAATAAAGCCCTTTATTTATTGGTTATCAGTATAACTGAGCATTTTCTGGTGTTACGTAGAGCTAGTAGGATGGGCTTTCTTTGAAAACATTATGGTTTTGAATCCTCTTCGCTTTAGAGCAGGGGTGGGCAAAATGAGGCCCATGGGCCAGATGTGGCCCGCCAGGCCATTCTATCCGGCCAGCAGGGCCCCTAAAAAAATTAGAAAATTAATATTTATCTGCCCCTGGCTGCCTGTCATGCAGCCCTCGATGGCTTGGCAAAACTCAGTAAGCAGCCCTCTGCCCGAAATAATTGCCCACCCTTGCTCTAGAGCCCAGATGGCTGTGGGCTGCTTCTGCTGAGAACCTTGTTACTGGCAGTGGAAAGTCCACTACTTGAGAGCCACCAGAAGATTGCTGACTTGCTTTTACCAGATGCTAGGATTCGGAGGAGGCCATCTCAAGAACTGAAAGTGATCTTGGGTGTGCTGAGTAACTTGGCACCTCCCCTTAGCACATGGGTGGGCAAAATACAGCCGCTGCCCCTGTCTGCAACAGCTCACCCAGATTCCTAAAGTGGCCCTCAAGTCAAAATAATTGCTCACCCCCGCCTTAGCATGTCTTGCTGAGTAGTGCTTCTCAGAGCACCCAAGAGATGGCAGCAGTGCCAAAAGTGTCTGTTCTGCCTCAGGGTGAGACCCAAAGCTCATTGTAGCCCCAGCAAAGAGATGTCATTCATATAGCTTTCAGGTTTTGGGTCCAATAAAAAATCATTTGTAGCTACCACCATACACTAGTGACTCTCAGCAGGTTCATATAAAGTTCTTTGGAAGAGACAATGCTGTCTAATGGCTCTGATTGTGCTATGCTGTGTGCTACAGATTAAGCCAAACCTTGGTGAAAGATGTAGCCATCCTTGCTAGAGAGATTCATGATGTCGCTGGAGACGGGGATTCTCAGAGCTCTTCAGGAACTGGACCAAGTACCTCCCACAGTTCGGTGCCCAACACCCCTGCTTCCACCATATCAGCGAGGGAAGAGGTAAGAGAGCTGAAAGGGCAAAAATCTCAGCCACAAAATTAAGGGAGAGATGGGGACATTTGTGTGATGAGTTCAGGGGCTACTATGCCAGGCACCGGGGTGTGGAAGGAGGAGAGAGGAGACAGCAAAAGAACACTGTCAATTTATTGCATGTGTGTTTTGTCCTGGCATCTCTCTGCCCGGGCCAGTTTGCACAGAGAGAGGAGCAAGAATTTTTCCTCGGCTTGGCTCAAATCACAGTTCCCTGGCAGATTGTGGCAGATTCACTTAGCCGTGGGAAAACAACAGTCTTATTTTAGTGTTCAGCAAAAAGCACAGCCTTTTAGTTGAAGGGTAAAGGAGTATGCTTCTCCAAGTACTTAAAGCCTCCTGCTCAGGCCTTGGTCTGGGAATCTTCCTGGATTAGCAGATGTAGGGGATAGGTTTCTGGGTGGTGGGGTGCGGTGGGGTGCTGACTTTCATGTAGGGTTTTGTTTCTGGGTGGTATGAGCTTGGCTTAGAGGCGTTCTGTCTCTGTAGTCTCACTGGACCATGGGGCATTGAGTTAGGGGGAGAGGGA